CCTGCTTCTGGGCTGAGACACAAACAAACGAGGGCCCCTGCAGGCTGCTGGCTCCCAAGGCCCTGGCAGGTGAGCACACCTGGGCAGGGCTGCCTCATGCCTGGAGGTAGAAACAGCACAGTGAGCTCTGATGGCTCACCTGAGGTGGCCTGGGCCTCCTGGTTTTGTGTTGGGGTGAAGGATGGGGGTCCTGAACTTCAGTGAGTGTCTGAACCACCTGGAAAATCTGTTAAAATGCAGATTCTTGCAACCCTCTGCAATCCTTCCCATCCCAGATTTTGATTAGTGAGTTTGGGGTGGGGCCCAGGCATCTACATTGTTCAATAAGCTCCTCTAATGACCCTGAAAGAGATGGTTCATGAACAAGTCTTAGCTACGAAGACAAACAAAATCTGAAGAATCACTGTTCCATAAAATATTTCAGCAGAAAGGACCCCTGGTTAGAATCTAGCTAGTCCAGTACCTTTATCAATAAGAAAACTGAGGATCAGAGAGGGGATGTGGTTTGCCTATGGTCACACAGCAAGCCACTGGCAGGGCTGAAGCCTGAACCTATGTCTCTTGTCTCCTAACCTGGTACTTTCCTATCCAAGTCTATTGGGAACTGGCTATTTAGACTAGTCTTTAGGTCCTTACCAGCTAGGCCCAGTGAGACTGGAATGCTATAGGGTGAGGAGGCCTCTTTGAAGTGGAGTGAGACTGATGCAGCAAGTGATTGAAGGAATCTGGAGCCATCCCCACCCACCTCGACAGGGCTTCCTTCTACAGCCACCTTCCAGCAGAGACACCAGCTTGTGGTAGCCAAGATGCCACTAACCATACCATCCCCAGGATGTGGAGTGACATTTTTGCCCCTTGTCACTCCTACCTAGCCCTTGTACCTCCCTCTCCAAGGAATGCTCACAACCAGGCTGACCTCAGGAGAGAGAGTCACTCCAGGGCTGGCCTGCTGAGTCCCACGGTCCTAGGGAGACTGTAGAACCTCATGAGTCTATTTATTGGAAACTTTCAGGAATGTGGAGTCTCTCGCCCTCAACAACACACACACACACACACACACACACACACACACGCACATCTTCTACAAGGCCTGTGGCTTTGATGTTGGCTGGTAGGAGACATAACAGATTGATTTCTGCAGAGTAAGTCCTGTCCCTAACCTACTCCCAACATCACCGATGGTCAGCAACAGCATGGTAGAGCACTGCAGTGGCCCACGGCCCACCATGAGAGTTTCTGTGGGAGTAAGTATTCAATGACATCATCTCAGACCACCAGAGGCTTCCCAAGTCATGCAAACGCAGAAGCCAGGGGCAAGGGATTAAGAAATTAAGACAGGGCAGTGTTGCAAGGACAGACCAATAGACCAACGGAAAGAACAGATTCCAAAAAAGACCCAGACCTGACTGAGGACAAAGATGCCAGACCCCAAAATTGTGTGATTCCATCTATGCGAAGTTCAGTAATGGGCGAAAGTAATCTATGGAGGCAGAAGTCAGAAGAGCAGTAGCTCTGATGGGGGTGAGGGTGCTGCCCAGGAGCTTGCCAGGGGCTAGAAATGACTCTATCTGGATGGTGATTACACGGCATATTCATATGGAAACTCACGGAAGCGTACAATTAAGATTTGTGACCTGAGGTATAATATTAATACATTATCTTCCCTCTCTGAGCCTCTGATTCCTCATCTACAAAACGGAGACAACAAGACTACCCTCGTAAGCTGACAATGCAGACGGGGCCTGGCACGTGGAGTCAGGCGGTCAGTAAACATTACTGGTAAAAGGAGACAGAGGAAGAAACAGGGCCCGATGATGACAACAACAAAAACAACAGTGACGACCAGCTCACTATCACTCTGGGGTGCTTCCCACATGCCAGGCACTGTGCTAAGTTCTGCTTGTGCATTAGCTCATACAGTCTTCCCAATGTCTCCTAAAGTTAGGTTCGGAAAAATGGAAAAATGTTTCTGTAAAAATGGATAAAGTGACCCTTGATGTACGCCAGGGAGAGAAGCACTCAGGGACTGGGCAAAGCTCCAGCTGGTACTCCAGCCCCTTTGAGTAGTTACTGATGCGGGCTGTCAACCAGGTGGCTCCAGGTTCCAGCAGCCCAAGGTAGATCCCTGGGAGGGAGATGAAGACAGTGAAGGAGCAAGGACTTTGGAGTTATGCAGACCTGGGTTCAAACCCTGGCTCTGCCCCTGATAGCTGTGTGATATTGGGTAAGTTGTTTAACCTCTCTGAACGTTAGCTTCCTCATCTGTAAATAGGGTTAATAATATAAATTGATACTTCACAGGATAGCTGTAAGGAGGAGAGATTTTATGTGTCACATGCCTGGTACATATTAGTTGCTTATAATAATTATTATTGTTATTCCCAAAGAACTGTGACATCAGCAGGCACCATTCTGCATGTACACAGAAGACAGCCGACACTCTCCCCTTGCCCTGCCTCACAGAGGCCAACCCCGAGCATGAGGCTGGTTCATTTACCTGTTTACTCGTTTATGGATGGCTACCAAGGACCTGCTCTGCACAGACTGCTGACTTTATCTGCAAGGTATTGAAAGAGGGTGGAGGCAGGAGCAGATGAGCCCAGGCCTCGGAGGGCACACCCTGCCCAGCTCCTACTGCCCACCTCTGGTCCGGCTGCCCCCTCCTCCCAGGCCCCTCACTTGGCCACGAGCAAGCAACGATACCAGAGTGCATCTTTCTGTTTGCACTTGTCCTGGAAAATCAAAGTTGCCTCTGATTACAGCTCTGGGCTTGCTGCATCCAAGGAGATTAATGGATTTCAGGGTGCTGCTGGAATGCAAATCCCATCACAGCTGGTAGTAAGTAGATGTCAGTAACATGGCGTGGGGTGAGGCCTCCGGGATCTCTCCTGAGCAGTAGGCAGAGAGACTCTGCTCCCTTTAAGGCTATTCAGGAAAAGCCAAGGGTGACCTCTCATCTCATCCAATTCCTTCTTCATTGACACCAAAGACTTAGTATTCCGCCTGAACACCCTCCCTGCTCCCACCCTAGACGCACAGAGTGAGGGAAGCAGAGTCAGAGCCCCTAGTTAGGTTACTGGCTGAGTGACCTCAGGAAAGGCTTTGCTCTCTCTGCGCTTTTCTCCCCATCTGTGCAGTGGAAGGTTGAATTATCCTTCTGCTCATCCTCTTCCCCCCAAGCAGCAGAACTCTCCCAGGAAAGCCCGACAGGCAGCTCAGGCGATGGCAGCGCTGCCCCGGGGGAAACAGGTTGGGTCCTGTGTCGGTGCAGCCTCCCCACACACCCACACATACTCCACGGCCCCCAGATGGGTAACAACAGCTTTCCTAGAGGCCTCAGGCAGCCACAACGACACCTTTCCCTGCCATGTTCCCGGCAGCAGCTCACATACTTTGATGCAGCCCAAGAGGAGTAGTGGGATCAGGCAGACCTGGGTTTCAATGCCAGCTCTACTAGCTGTGTGACCTTGTGCAAGTTACCTTCCCTCTCTGAGTCTCTGATTCTTCATCTGCAAAGTAGAGATGATAAGACCACCCTCCTAAGTTTATTCAGAAGAAAAGGGCTTGACACAGGGAGCTAGGCATTCAATAAACACTAATGGTAGAAGGAGACAAAGAAGGAAAGGATAGGGCCCAGAGATAATATAATGAAATCAACCACAATGTACTTACCATTCTCAAGTGCTAACCACACAGCAGGCACTATGCTAAGTACTGTTTGTGCCCTAACTCACGTAGTCCTTGCAACCCCTCTCAGAGGTCCCATCGTTATCCCCATTTACAGAGGTCACCAGGAGGCCTGTGCAACCACCACACCCCCTGCCACCCCAACTGGCTTCTCTGCTGAGCCACAGTGTGGCTTTCTCCTCTGGGCCATCTGCCACTGGGACCACATGCTCATCTTCGTGTGTTGCCTTAGGGGAGGGGGAAGCAGAGGAGGAGAGAACATTCACCCCCATCAGGTCTGGCCCCTGCATTGCTTCCTCCCGCCCAGCCGGAGTGGCAGGTCGCATCACTGCAGTCCTCAAAACCCTTCAGTGATTCCCCAGCACCTCCAGGGCCATACCCAAGACCTTCACCATCTGTCTCTGCATCTACCTCCCCATGTGCCCCAGGGAACCCTGCCCCAGCCCTGCCCAGGTTCATCCATTCCCTTCCCCTTCCTGGCAAAGCCACTCCCCGGCAAATTCCTACTCATGCTACTGGGGATGCAGAGGGTGCAGGGGGAGCGCCTCCTCCTCACACTCCCTGGGGTCTGGCTCACTCCCCTCTTGCTGCTGAGATGTGGCTGAAGGATTTAGAAGCATCTCTGACTCCCATGCTAGGCACTAGGGATTGGGTCTAGTTCCCCCGTGAACCCCCACATCTGGCACACAGCAGGGACTAAAAACTGATGAATGTTGTTGAAAGAGTCCAATTCCACCCCTTCCTGTGGGACCCTGTCGCAATCAAAAAGCAGAAAATGGGGTACAGCCGCACCACTGGCCAGTTTTCCCTCAGACGGAGGAGATGGGAAGAGGAAGACACGAGCCCACCCTTTTCTTCCCTGCTTTACGAAGCTGATGCAGTTGGCTACTGCTGTCCCCTTTTTGTCTGATACCTTGAGATCTGCATAGTGGCAGGGAGAGGGGAGAGCGGGAAGAGGGAGGAGGTTGTAAACAGGCCCCGCAGAGGCAGAAGGATTAAGTCCCACTGATTCTGCACCATCGTCCTCTGTGGCTGCCCAACTGTGTGGGGCTTGGATGGCACCAGAAGAAAAGACGGTAATCGCTCGTCCAGGCAGGAGGTGCAGGGAGGGGCTCGGCATTTCCCTGCACCCCTGTGTACAGAGGGTTGGCCTGGATGACCTAGAAGGGTCCTTCTTGCTCAGAGATTTGTAATTGTCCAGGCAGATAGTGGGGCCGGACTCTGAGGCCTCAGCTGGACACACTGGGCCTTCCTGGGCAGCCCCGACCCAGCCCAAGTCCCCTGGCACAGCAGCCCTGACCTCTTGACCTCACCTCGTTGACGTCGATCTTGTTCCTCTCCATGTAGTCTCTGTCATTGACCTGCCCGCCGTCCACAAACTCCATCAGGAGGACCCGCTTGGTGGACAGCTCCCAGTAGATTCGGGGGACCTGGGAGAAGAAAGGGCATATGGGAACAGTCCAGGGAGGCTGGGATTCAGGGGCAAGAACCACATGAGCCACAGCGCACCAGACAGCAGCAGATACTCCCTCCCAGAACAGGGCAGAAGAGACCCCAGAGGGACTTCAGCAGTGACTGGGGGCAGAGAGGGGTGGTGGCCAGGCCGAGAAAGGCAGGCTACTCACCTCTGCCAGCTAAGCCCCAGCCCACTCCCTCAGAGAACGGCTTCCCCCACCCTCCTCCCTGCATCCCACCTACTGTTAAGGGCCAAAACTAAAATTGGACTTGGGAAGAAAATATGTGAAATGCTTCATACCCGGACGTGGTATTTACAGCTATTTCCCTATCTCCATCCCACCATCAGGCCCACTTCAGGCTCCTCATGTGAATCTTAACCCTCTGCCTCAGTTTTTTCACCTGGGTATTGGGTGTGTTATAGGTATTGAGCGGATGAGTGAATCTTTACCAGATGATAGATTTTGTCTCTCGTGCCGGTTTCCTACTAGCCCCCTGTGACAATGCTGGATCTTACCCCAACATCTATTCTCAATCTTCCTCTTCTCTAGAGATGAAAAAACTAAATATTAATACTTTCCTTGCCTGCTATATAGTAGCTATGGCCATGGGACACAGTTCTGGCTTATGAACATAAGTGGAGGCTTGCCAGGGGATTCCGGGAAGGTTGTTATTTTCCTGAGAAAAGGGGATGTTTATACGGTGCTACTTTTCTTCCACTTCTCTTCCTGCCTTGAAAGGGAATGTGATTCCTGGAGCTGCAGCAGCCATACTGCGACCATGAAGAAAAATCCAAGAAAATCAATGCGATGCCAGCCTGATATTGTCAAATCACAAAAACAATATCAGCAAGCAACTGCTACAAGCCTCCTTGCTATGTGAAGAAAAATAAATCCTTTTTGTTTAGTATACTCTAAATGTAGCTTTCAGTTACTTGTAGACAAATGTATTACTAACTGATACACTCTCCAATTCCCTCTAACTCTGAGAACACCCAAAACGCAAAAAGAGAACAGATTTCTCCAGGAAATCTGACCAGAGTGCACCATGGCTGCTGGCCTGCCATGAGTGAGTGACATCCATCAGGACCACCCCAGCCAGGAGGGAGGAAATGCTGGGCTTTCAGCATGCCACGTTCCCCAGAATTTTGATGGGTTTATTTTCTCTTACAAATAAAGAAACAAGGGCAGCTAACCAAAATGTTTTAGAGAATAAGATCTTCCTTCACCCTAACCCCATAAACTCATCTAGCAGTAACATAATGACCCTCAAGTCAAGAAACCTATTTCTTGTTCCTACTTCTGCTAAAAACTGCTGCATGTGAGAGCAGCCCCTTAACTCCTTTATGCCTCAGTCTTCCTCGCTGGAAGGAGAATTGTTTCTGCCCCATCTCAGTAAGGAGCTCTGAGAGCAAAGGGGCCACATATACAAGTGGAATGCTCTGCTTGGATGAAAAGGTGCCATTTTGGTTTGCTACTTCCCTGTGGTTTTTGCAATTTGAAAATCTTGGCCAATAGAGAAATCTGTAACTCTCTGCTACCTTGAACTTAAAATGTAGACTTGCTAGGCATTTTTCAAAAAGTACCTTTTAAAAAATGAGTGCAAGTTTGTTGTTTTTGTTCACAGCTTAGATAAAAGAGACACATTTTGGGGTTAAATTCTTCCCATTGGGTTTGCCTGGAAACGTAGGCTTGATGGACCCCTGGGACTCTGGAGACAGGAGGTCAAACCCCCAGCTAGGCCTGCCTAGGGCAACTTGGAAAATAGCCAGGAAAGAGTCACAGGTAGAAAGAGAAAACCCAAAGGCTGGAGATTCTCTGTGTTGGTTAATCAGGGTCCTGAGTGTGCTGAGGTTTCCCTCTCCTCCCTCTCCCCTTCCTGAGTCTCCCTCCAAATGTAACTACGCCAGTCTAAAACGGAATGTGCCCCTGGCTTCAGCTGCTCAGATCTGACACATCAAACCGGGGAACAGAGGGGTGTGCCATGCAAGCTCGAGGACTGCAGGTGCACCTCAACAGATGTAACACGGAAATGACTGCAAATGCCAAGTGCTCCCTGCTCAGTCAGGAAAGTGACCTGCCCCTAAATCCCCGTGTGGGCAAGAGGACCTGGGGTGAATTCACTTCAGAGAGGCTCTGGAGCCAGGCTGCCCCTTACCGGTGAGCTGTGTGACCCTGGGCAAACGGCTTCATCACCCTGGGCCTCAGTTTCCTCTCTGATGATCTGAGGCTAATAATGGCACCTCCCTTGTGAGGCTATTATAAGGATTAAAGACTAGATACATGTAAAGCACTCTAAAAAGTGTCTACCACAGCACAGATGACATATAAAGATGTTATATACTAATTACTACACATCAGGGGTTCTTAATCTTTGAGGTTCTTAGGAAGCTATGACGCTTCTCCAAAAGCATGCACACCTCTCAGTGTATGTCCACGCTGTGTCCCGGGGTTCTCAGCCTCCACTAAGAAACCCTGGGGTGGCCCAGCCTGCAAGATGGCCCTCACCCATCTGCACCTCCACGCGTGCAGACACACCCTCGCCTCTTCCAGTCCCAAACCCTGTAGGTATAAGCCTTCTCCCCTGCTACTTTGTCCCCAGTTGGCCCCCAGGTTAGTCACAAACCTCACCACTTGCCTTGTCCCATCCCCTCCCATTCTGATGCCGAACCCACAGTGCTGGTCTTGACCTCTGGCCTGGCTGCCCCTCAGCCTCTCCCACTCTCCCTGTCACCACATTCACATTCGATGCTCATTTGAGGTCTGGAGATTTACAGCACAGGGCTGAGGTTCTTAAACCCCACAGAAGCACGGGAAGACGCCTCACACCCCAAGAAGTGAACTCTTTGCTGAGGCTTCGTTATGCACAGTTATTGTCATGGGCTGCCAGTGTGCAAAAGCAATCCATCTCCAGGTTGAAGAGTTGAAAAGGGTTCACAGCGCAAAATTCTCTTCCCGCTTATTACATGTTTAGGCGAAATTAATTACTCAAGAGCCTTAATTCCACCATCGTCTTAGGAACGGGGCCAGAGTTTTGGAAGCAGCAGGTCAAATCAGTACATTAATTATTTACCCATTTGGCATCTTCATTTGAAAAATGTTTGTTATTGTTATTATTATGTGTCTTGGTCTGGCAGTTGCTAGTTGGCCCCAGCCAGGGGACAATTTTGCTGTTTCCATGGGAACGGTGGAAGAGATGGTTCTGTTTGTCGGCTCATAGTTCTGGCTCTGAGGGGCACCCCTGCCGGGTAAAAGGCAGCAGAGTATGCTGAGAGGAGCACCAGACTTGGACTCAGAAAATCTGGGTTGTTGCGGTAGCTCGTCTACTCAAACTGTCATCTGTAAAATGGGCTGATGGCTGTTGGAAGGATTCAACATCATAGTACCTGCGCAGTGTTAGATGCAGCAGCACAGGACAGAAGAAACATTCAATATATATTCCCCACCCCTTTGTACAGTCAATACTTTTTGGAAGCTCTCTCGTGAGCTCTTTATCCTGGGTAGGATTAAATCCTGCCTCTTGGGAGTCCACAGAAACATGGATAAGTGTCTCTCGCAGGGCTAACCAACTTGCATGTGGTCCCCCCCCTAGATGGAAAGTTTTCTGGGCAGGGGCCAACCCCCAGCTCCTGGCACAACAGGTTCAGGACAGGCTCAATAAAGGAATGAAAGAAATAGGATATGCAAGTAGAAGCATATCTTAGACGCCACAGTGTTATCCTAATTAGTTAACATCATCACTTGTCTGAGAAAGCCAAGTTTTCATTGAACTGATGATTTGAGCTTTGAGGCTGGGGCAGTGTCACCAAATCTAGTCCGCACGTCTAGATTCACGTGCACAAGAGGATTTGTACATCCACGTCTACAATGGTGGCCAACAAAATGCCAATCAAGCATGCTGGAAGGATCGAGACAGACCTGACCCCAACACACTCAAAGAGCTAAACTCCTCCAGTGGCTACACCATCCACCAAAATCGATGTGTCAAGACACTGCACTGATCACCACAGCTGTGGTTTTTCCTCCTGTGATCTGAGCTTTAGAATTGTCAAGTGGTGAGATACAAACACATCCTCAGTCACTCCATCTCTGTCATTCTAGACAACAAAACCACAAACACTACCTCCATTTCTCATGATGTCTCCAAAAGACACATGAAAACTTTAGTCCAGAACAGTAGAGCCCTTCCCATTCAATGTTCTGAGCCACCCTCCCCAGCAAGAGCGCTACTTAGCCATCTACTCTGGAACTAGCACACAGAGATCCCGAGAGCTCTGGGACCCCCTCCTGCATTCTCCAGACCTCCTGAGTGAAGACAGAAGGGCTGATCTCTTCTAGAGTTGAAAGCCAAGCTCTCTGTGTAGACCACCAGAGGAGCCCTCCAACCCCTGCACCATCATAATGAAGGGGTACCCCTGGGTAATGGGCATGACCCCCCCTAAGGACAAGGAGCGTTGGAAGAACAGTGGTGCTGGCATGCATCTCTCTCATTCCAACCCGTGTGCCCTGCAGAGAACATGAGGATGGTCCTCAAAGACCAGCTCAGTGCCCACTCCTCAGAAGAGCCTGCCCTGACCTGTGGGCCGTGGGAGTCCCTTCTTCTGAATCCTTGGAGCACTTACAATACCTGTCATGATATAGCTGTGACTTTGTACCATTCATTGCTATTTCTCACGTCAAGTGTCTTCTATTACACAGGGCAGTTCTGCTATAATACTTGTTTTGAAAACACAAATTTGTTCAGTGTGACTGATATATTAGGAAACAGTTTGATCAAAATGCAAATTTTATATTAGCTTACATGCACTATCATCTGCCAGAAACACTGTGAATGCAGAAAACTGTATCTGGCTGAACTGTGCCACCTGGGAATACACAAAATACACACACCTCAAACATCACTGCACATGGCTGAGTCACCCGTCTGGTGTTACAGCCTTCTGTCCCATGTCAGACGACCCTCCGTCTACCACCACACGATAATTCACAAGCAGTAACCCTTCGGAAGCCCACTTCCACAAGCAGATTTCAAGGTAAAGTGCCATGCATATTGTGGTCTTATGTATTTCTTAGACATTTAACGTGCATAAAACTATGCTACTGTTTTTATTCTTAGCATCTTTTGTTTTCTGTGTTACTGATGAGGTTTTTCCGTGTTATCCCCCTAACTCCATTTTCCCCACAGGCCCTGTGGTTTCCATTGTGCGAGCCTGCATACACTGTGGCGATTTCTAGGAACACACATATTGTGCTATAACCATATATTAAATGAGCTAATGTAATATACATATGTCTGGAACAGTGCCAGAATATAGTAGCGTTAGCTACCACCACCACCACCATCGTCATCATTCCATGCTTCATGGAGGCAAAGACCATAACATATAGGCCCTAGGGTAGTGTTCAGTGTCTTGTAATTGTCGATTATTCAATAAACATCTGTTTAATTGACTGACAGGTCAACAGTCACACTTGGTATTTCTTTATAAATTGCCTTCAAGGGCTTTAATGTGCACCACCAGTGAAAAATCATTCATCCTCAGTAAGAAGGCTCAAGGAAGAGATGTCCCAGTTATGTCCTGAAAGGGGATATCAATCCCCCAACTCTTCCACCAGACTCCCCACTCCCCATTGCCCTGCCCCGCCTACCTTTAAGAAGTCAAAGTGCTTCAGCATCTGGGCCACTTTCTCAGCATTCCTCCCTTCATTGAGGAAATCCAACTCCAAAGGCAGGTTCTTCTTGGCTTCATCCACCAGCCACATAAACTCAAACTCTGGGAATAGCTGTTTCACAGCCAGGACAAGCACCTGAAATCCACCAAGCACCCCATCAGTCAGCCCACAGCACCCACCAAGGGAGGTACATTTCTTACCCTCCTTCTGGGTCCCCTTGGAGTAAGGGTGGGTGGGGAAACTGCTCCCCTGGGGTCCATCTCTGTAGTCTACACCAAGTCCAAGATGACAACAGCTGGCAGTAACCATGACTACTACTGTCTGCTAAGCACTGCCCACGTGCCCAGCACTCGGCTAAGCACTTTGTTTACTATCCCTCTTAATCCTCACAACTCTGGGAGGTACACAGATGCACATCCTATCATCCCCATTTCATAGATGAGGAACCTGAGCCTCTGAGAGGTTATATGATTTTCCCAAATTTGCCCAGCAGAAGTACAGAGCCAGAATTCCACTTGGGTCTACCCAACTCCAAGGCCCTTACTCTGAAGCACTTCGCTCAACTGCTGCTGTTGCTGCTCCCAGATTTGCTCTTCATGGTCCTGTTTACAAAGCACTGAGAGGTGCTGCAATTGTGACTGTCATTTTTTTTTTCTTTTTTAAGCTAACTGGTTGGTACTCAAGCATTTATAATATTATTTTCTATACTTCTGTATGTCTAAAATATTTCATAATAAAAAATTAAATTGGAATAAGAAAACAAGGCTGGACCTGGCAATAGATAAAGGATTTGACCATTTGGATAAAAAGCTTGACTTTTTGGCAATTTGGATCCACAGTAGATTCTTGAGCAGTGACATGACGAAAAGAGGGTTTAGAAGACTTATCTGGCATCCAGGTGTCAGTTTAACGATGTGAAATTAAACGCCACGGCAGAGAACAAGAGCCCAGTGAGATGGGAAGAGCACGTCACAGTCCCTCCGTGGGCAGGGACTCAGTCCTGGGGCTGCTCCACCACCAGGGCCCTGGATTTGAGACAGTTTCACAAGTTCACAGGTGATGGCTCTGTAGGCAGCGAGCGAGGGTGATACCAGGGATGTGGAAGGTGTTCCAGAATTCCGAGAGGGAAACACAAAAGGCAGCTCCCCTGCTCTCCCATAAGCTTTCCTGTCGTGCTCAAAGCCAGGCCTGGTGAGAACCACCGACTGATGGTCCCAGTAATTCTTGGTGTAGATTACAGTCCGAGTTCTCTGAAAACATCCACCTCCACCCCTGGCTACAGCAGACAGCAATGAGCAGGGACTAAAAAGCCATGGGCCTGGTGGTATCAAAACACCTTCCCCTGATCTCCCCAGAAGGACTTACTGGGCCACAGCTAACAGCCTTGTCTTGTGCTTCTTTTTGCCCTGATCTACGATATTATGTCCAAAAAGGCGTTCGGCACGTGTGATCCAAAAGAAATAAATCTAAAGCCAGGCCATTAACTAAAAGGCACTTACGGCTTTGTTTTTAAACCCTATGTCCTGGGTGATATACCAGACGCCATTCTAAAAGAATCACCACACAGGGCTATTATATACTCAATTTCTACCAAAACCCCTTTTAATTATCTTAGGATGTAGTTTAATTTCTTTTCAGTCTTATCTGGTCTTTCATGGGCTAGACCTGTGACCTTATGATAATCGATTTAGTTTATGTTTTGTTTCTGTTTGTGTCACATGAGACTAGGAGGGAGAGGTGGCAACAGAAAGGTCCAGATCACACGAGTCAGATCCAGGCACCTGGGCATGGCAGCCTCCAGACATCACATCTCATCACAGTGCCCTCAGATGGCCCTCGGTAGCCACCGAAGCTAGGGCAGAGCAGGAGCACAGGAAACAGAAGCGACTCACACAGGCTGTGGCCAAGCACGCCATCTAAGGCACCTGAATTCCACTCTATGGGCTCTGAGAGAAGCCCTAAGGCATATTGCTCCAGGCTAAATTTCAAAGGGCCTCGCCCAGGCAGGGCAAGGAAAGGAGCCACAGTGAGGTCCCCTCATTTGTTCAATCAATATTTACTGATTACCCTCTACGTAATTAGCCTGGGCCAGATACGAGTATATACAGGGAGCTACCTGTAGCCTAGTGAGGCCTATCCCTGGGGGGTGAAGCTTACAGCCAAACAACAATTCCTCATTTATTATATGGCCATTGTTATTTGTGAAATTTTAAATTATTATTAATATCCAAACAGCGCTGAGAGGCACATTAAAGATTTTTTCTATTACTAATCAATGACATAATTAGTCATCACTAACACTATTGGTTATTATTAATACCTGATGTCATTAATCATAAAAGCAGGCATAGATTTTATTAATAATTGCTAATAACTAATGAATAAACTGATTCATAACCCAAAAAACTTTACAGTGCTCATAAAACTGGTTACTAAAGCATTCTGTGGGTTGTGGGTCAGTCCCTTGGTTACTTTAAACCGAAAAGGCTTGTTTGAATGGAAGTCAGTGGTTCTTAGCTTTACGGGAGGTCACCATCCCCTTTATGGGAGGTCATCAATTTGAAAACCTGATGCCAGCTAGGAAGCCCAGAAAACGTACATACTCACATAATTTTGCACATAACTCAGGGGGTTCACCAGACCCTTGAAATTCACTGGTGGGGAGGGGAGGTCAGGTTAAGAGTCATCTGGTCCAAGTAGTTTTGGGCTGCTGCCATTTTAGACTTTTCTTGGCTGAAGACAGTAAAATAGAACTCCTCAGTTTCACCTTCTGTTTTCATTCACTTCCCTTCTTAGATGAATCCATTTAGCCTGCCCTAAGCAGATTCATCTCACTTTTCGACAACAGATGCAAGCAACTAAAATAAAACAGCTGTTATCAATTCAACTTTTTGATTTTTCTCCCCAAATGTATCTTTCTCCATAAAATTCTTCCAACAGCCAATGTTTTCACCAGCACCCACCACATACTTAACACTCAGCAGATGTTTATCAAATACACGAACGAATGAGTGAATAAATAAATGAATGAACAAATGAATGTTTCAAAGAGTTTGTCTTCTCCTCTGAGATAATTACAGTTTCACCTGTGTATTATCCAAAGGGATCAAGTTTTTCTGTTACTGAGGTCTTGGTGGAAAGAGCAAGAACCTGTGAATTTTGGGGAACCATAGTTTCAGAATCCCTGAGAATTCTCTGCTTGATCTGGAACCTTATGAGTCATTCAAAAATTAATACTTTCTTCGAGGTAAAATAATAAAATTATTTTCCTATAGGGTCACTGGCTCACACGAAGACAAAATCAATTGTGGGCCATAAAGAAATATAATGGGGAAAATGAAGAGTCACATAGAAGTTTGAAAACTAGTGACTGTTATTTACAATAGAAAAAAAATGGAAATTATCATTATTTAGTACCTACTACATGCCAGGCACTGTGCTATAAGGCACTTTACAGATGCATTATTGTTTAATCCTCTTCTTGCCAATTTTACATAGAAGAAAACAGGTTTCTGGAGGTCAAGGTCATATAGTTTATAATTGCCAAAACAGGATCTGGACCCAGGTTTTTCTTGTTCTTTCTTTATGCAGCCCTGCCTCATGCAACACAATACAGGACAACACAATAGGAAGCTCAAGATAAGACACAGAAAGGGCTTTGTAAACTGTAAAATGCAACTGAAATGCAAGTTGCTGTTATCCAGTTATTATATATTATAAAAGAAATAATGTGCTACAGAAAAAGAGCACACTAAATAGAACGCCTGTACCAATCCAAACTGGTAAAAATGAATGTCCGACAAGGATCGAAAATCAATTCAGAGTGATGTAAACAGCTTGCCATTCATGGGGTTTATCTTTGTTCTGATAAGTTATTAAAGTACACACGTTTTAGAAAACAGAATTATAGTGCAAAGAGAAGTTTCCATGGGATGGCCTACGTCTCTGGATATTTTTACATATATTTTTAAAAATAAAATCACTGTTGGATTCTGTGCCAACACAAACATTACCTAGCCACCCACTGTTCAATCAACACATTTAGTAAAGAAAGAAGATGACAGACAGCACGCACTGCAAATGCTGCTCAAAAAAACACAAAAACATGACTGTCACAGGTCTTTATTTTTACAGACCCTTAGGATGGGCCAAATGACGTCAAGTGGTGCTCAGGCCAGAGAGTTCTGCCCCAACATAGCAGAGAGCTTTAGGGCCTGGTGGTACATGGTGGGCAAAGTACTTGGCCATCAGTTAGATTCCTTCAGGACGATAGAGCAAGGGGGTGTTATCACTAATCAGAAGCCTGAGAGATAACTAGGAGTGATACGGGGTGGTTGGGACCTGGGGACTATGGTCTTCCCACAGCTCACAGATCATCTGAGTCCTACCCTGCCCTCAAGCAGTGAGAATGGAAATGAGATGTGGCCCGCTAAGCTCCCTGCTAATGTGGGCAGAAAAGAACTGCTGCAAAGCCAGCCCGCCAGCAGACGGATGGACTATGCTTCGTCAGTTCACCCCTTCCTGCTGAATCATTGTTCCAATCTCTAGGCCCAATTAGTCTGGCTCTGGACAGCCACTCAAATCAATAAGAGTCACTGGCCATGCATCTAGAAGTGGAGTTGCCCCAACTATTAAAGGGACAATATCAGGTGATAATGACAAAGCTGAAAAACATCCTCGCCTGTGCCTTTCTCTTTTGTGCAAAGTCATTGACACCATCAGATTCATCGAACACCATTTGCTGAGAATCAGCCCCATTCTCTGCCATCATTAACAGTCTATCCCAGAGACTGTCTCCATTTCCCAAGAGGAATGCCAGGTTCACAGGAGGCACAAAGCACTAGGGTGCCACATGCTACTGGGTGCCAACCCAACAGCCATCTCCTCTACCTTCCTGGCTAACAGAATCCTAGAGTTTTGCATCTTTCATGTCCACCAAGGAAAGCAAGCCTGAGAAGGTGAATCAAGATTGGTTTAAGCCAATCAAGGTGGTCTCATTTCTCTTGCCTAGACTGATTTAGGCATGGGCATTATTCTGGCCAAGAAGAAATGAAAGGAATTCCACCAGGGAACTCCTTTTTTATAAGGAATATGAGCGGGAGAAAAACAGGCCCTCTTTGGCATCTGGGTGTGAC